AGTCCATTGTGGCTCCCTGGTGATTTGTTGTCCAGCCATCAGCACTGTTAGGTCCAAGGTAGAAGTACCTTTTCAGCAGTCATGGCTATCTGGGAGGCTTTGGAACGATGCAGGGCTGCTGGGTAGAGAAAGTACTTGCTGGCATTGGATCAGGCAAAAGCTTTTGATCGAGTGAATCACAAATATTTGTGGTTGCTACTTGGGAGATACGGCCTGCAGGGGAGGTTTATAGATTGGCTGAAGACATTATATAAAGGGGCTGAGAGCTTCCCACTTGTTAATGGTTGGGTTGGACGGCCTTTTGAGGTCGGCTCTGGTGTGCGCCAGGGATGTCCTTTGAGCCCCCTGCTATATACTTTCGCAATCGACCCCTTTATAAGAAGGCTAGAGGGCACATCATTGTGCGGGGTGCCTCTGGGCATTGCTGGTGTGCCGCCTTTGAAGGTCGTTGCCTATGCTGATGATGTGTCTGTTATTATCTCTGGGACTGAGGAGGCGCAGGAGGTGGTCTCTGTGATAGAGCAGTACACGGAGGCTTCTGGCTCTAAAGTCAACCATGAAAAGAGTGAAGATATCTGGATGGGTGAGGAGGGTGAAAGCTTCGAACTTCCGGATGCCTTCCCAGAGCCCTAGCAGAAAATTAAAGTTTTGGGTATCAAATTTGGTCCTGGTGACTATGGTCATCGAAACTGGGAAAGCAGGTGGTAGATGCCAATGCCAAAGTAGTGAGCTGGAAGAGATGGAGGCTTTGCTTGAGAGAGAGGGTTGACTTGATCAAAACTTACCTGATCCCGATCTTTTTTTATATGTCAGCTTCGTCTGTATCTTGCCGGTATCTCTCTATGAAAGGGTCTACAGCTGTTTTTTCCAACTGTTATGGGGAAATAGGCTGAACCTGATCAAACGCAATGTAACTTACCTGTCCAGGCGGGAGGGTGGCCTAGGAAAGTCAACCCAATAGTTTTCTTTTCTTTGCTCTTTTTAAAGTACAATCTTGGTAATATGTTAGCAGAGACCCCGCCGGGATGGGTGGGTATTTTTCAGTCTTGGTTTAGGCCTTTTCTGCGTTGCTGGGAAGATGGCGGGCCAGTGAAAAGTCTGAGAGTCCGACATGGCAAGCTCCCGGCTTATGTTGCCCCGTGTCTGAAAATACTTCGGCAGTGGCAGGTGACAGTGGAGGATATCAGGTCCCTTCCCAGGAAGCTTCTGGGGAGAGGATTTTGGCTTCTGCTTTCAGTGTGTCACTGGCCTTAAAGGATTGCCCAGGCTCCGTAATGAGGGAGGGATTGCGTTTTTAACTTGGAGAGAATCCTTTGAAGTTTAGGGATCAAGCCTGGCTCGCTTTCCATGGAAGGCTCTATGTGAGAGGGAACCTGAAGCACCGCCCTGTGGATGATCGGGATTGTCCTAGAGCAGAGTGTGTTGGTAAAGTGGAGTCTATGGAACCACTTTCTGCTCCAGTGTCCCTTTACCATAGAGGTGTATAAAAGGGTGGGGAGGGTTCTGGGCATCCCCTTTCTCTATCGCATGAGTTATGCAGAGTGGGTGTACGGGGCATTCCCAGCTCGCTGGGACTTTGATTTGGATACACTTTTTTTTTAGTATAGTTGTTCGTTACTTCACATGGAATGCACGGGGGTCAGGTTACCCTGCGGAAGAAAGTCCTCCCTGTAGAGGTGGTGGTGCACGATATTCTGGGTGAGATTGGGAAGATTCGGGGTCTTGAGAAGGGCAGGGAGCCTCGGGCGGTCTGGATAAGGGCGTGGAGGAATATCAGACTTGCCTTTGGTGAACTGTCCATCTCTGGGGGAGGGGCGCTTTTCTTATGCTGTTTCTTTTCACTCCCTTAGTTTTTGTTGGTTAAGATCTTCTTTTTGAAGAAGGGCTGCATGCATAAGGGGGGCGGGGCTGCATGCATAATGGGGGGGGGGCTGCATGCATAATGGGGGGGGGCTGTTTCTTCACCTCTCAGGTTTGATGTCTTGGTGTAGTGATGTGAGTTGTAGTACGATTTATTTCCCCAGTAATGACAGGTTCATTTCTGAGAGTTTTGTTTTTGTCTGACAACAGATTTTGCTATATACAGTATTTATTTCCATTTTATGTGTAAATATGTATATAATTATTTATGTATATTCTGTATATTATTTTCTGTTTATTGATTGCAAGACTTTTAATAAAGAAAAATTGGGAAGAATGTCCCTTAAATTGGGGGTCAGTGGGAAGAATGTCCCTTACATTGGGGGGCAGTGGGAAGAATGTCCCTTACATTGGTGGTCAGTGGGAAGAATGTCCCTTACATTGGTGGTCAGTGGGAAGAATGTCCCTTACATTGGGGATCAGTGGGAAGAATGTCCCTTACATTGGGGGTCAGTGGGAAGAATGTCCCTTACATTGGGGGTCAGTGGGAAGAATGTCCCTTACATTTGGGGGGTCAGTGGGAAGAATGTCCCTTACCAGTGGGAAGAATGTCCCTTACATTGTGTGGGCAGTGGGAAGAATGTCCCTTACATTGGGGGTCAGTGGGAAGAACGTCCCTTACATTGGGGGTCAGGGGGAAAACGTCCCTTACATTGGGGGTCAGGGGGAAGAATGTCCCTTACATTGGGGGTCAGGGGGAAGAATGTCCCTTACATTGGGGGTCAGTGGGAAGAAACGTCCCTTACATTGGGGTCAGTGGGAAGAACGTCCCTTACATTGGGGGTCAGTGGGAAGAATGTCCTTACATTGGGGGTCAGTGGGAAGAATGTCCCTTACATTGGTGGTCAGTAGAAAGAATGCTCCTTACACTCGTGCTCATTGGGAAGAATTACCCCCTTTACAGATAACTAAAAAGATCAGCGGTGTCAGTGGGAACTTATAGGAGAGGCAGAAATTGTTCAAGGAGCCCCTAGCAACCTCTGGAGGAACCCTGTCATAGACAGTCTCTGGCACCAGTTTGGAGGAAACTCTACCACCTTGCTCCATGGAGGATTTCCAGCAAAGATTTGCTCTCCTTCTGAAGGGAAGTTGAAGATGTCATACGGGGAATGACTATTTTGTGTGTTCCAGAATTTTCCTTACAAATTAAATAGCTGCTCTAGAAGCGAGCGCCCTTGTCTAGTCTCGTAAGTCGGGTGGCGGAACTTGATGAACAAAGATGTCTGAAGGATTAAGTGTTCTGGTTGCCTACAGCGAGAAGTCAGATTCAGCCTTTCATGTTTTCAGCGCTGTACGGGAGAAAGGACGTTACAGGACGCCATCTGGCAAAAAGAACAATTCTTCCATGACGTCCAGTTCATCATGCCTTCTGTTTGGCTAATATTCTGGAATGTTCTCCACAAGACATTTTGCATGGCATGGAATAACTAACCTGGTTTCCAGACAGGTCTGTCCTAGTTGTGGTCTGATTTGACACGTAAAGTAAGACTCCAATCAAAAATAAAGACAACCAATATCCCATTAAATGTTAAAATAAAAGCTTTTGCTGCAATACTTGCCTTCAATCTGGAGCCCCCCCCCCCCACAGAACATCTTCTCTACTAGATGACCTTAATCTTCTGGGCTGAATGACCATCGGCATCATTTAACCCATTGCCTTTGTGCCTCGGTTGTCATGTACCTGCTCCAGCCTGGGACTGGACAGCAGAAGCAGCACAGTATGACGTTCAGCTCACAGTCACTCTGATTTCTACTCCTCTCAGCGTGCTACTCGTCAGCAGGTGAACTGATTGGTTCATTGTCCCGCTTCTTCCTCCCCCCCCCCCCCCCCAATCTGAGCTCTGCTAGCACAAGGGCTGCAAGAGGCTGACGCCAAGTCAATTTCAGGTAAGTACACTGCTTGCATTTATAAAAATGAATTTTAATGATGCATTTATGAATACAAAACTGCTTTACTTTGTGGCTTTTATATCTGCCTGGAGTTCAGCTTTAAAAATCTGAACTTTCTGTCCGAAAGGCTCAAGTAACCTGACATGAACTGACATTTCAGATTTCACCCCAACCACATCCTGACTTGACATGTTACACAGCAGACCTTCCACAACAACCAAGAATGGCTCATATGACGAGGACCCCCTACCCCTTCCTAAAACGCTGCATTACACCGCAAAGCATAAAAACCTGTAGGGGGGGGGAGGCAAGTTAATACGAGGTGACATTGAAAAGTTTTGAAACTAGTTTTGTAACACGCCAACGGAAGGCAGCACAAGGCTGCACGCAGTCGCAGGGAGCACCGACTTTTATAAGTCAGTGTGCCAAAAGGACATTGTCCTGTGTACATCAGGAGCTGTGCAACTGGTGCTACTCTGACCATGTGCGTTACCGTGTCTGCTATTCCATCATGGACAGCAAGTTAGAACATGAAATTCTGTGTGAAATCAAGCAAATCTGCCACAGAGACGTCTGCCGTGATTCGGTGAGGTTAGGACAATGCTGCAGTGAGTTGTTCCAGGTGTTTTGAGCGGCACACACGCTTCAAAAGCGGAAGAACATCAGTGGAAGACGAGAGATCCGGAAGACCTTCAACAAGCTGAACTCACGAAGATGTGCAAACCATTCGGCAACTTGTGCATGATGTCCCTTGTTGGAATTAGGGGGCAGTGGGAAATGTCCCTTACATTGGGGGTCAGTGGGAAGATGTCCCTTACATTGGGGGTCAGTGGGAAGAATGTCCCTTACATTGAGGAAGAATGTCCCACACAGTGGGCAGAATGTCCCTTACAGAGGTCAGAACATCAGTGGGAAGAATGTCCCTTACATTGGGGGTCAGGGAGAATGTCCCTTCATTGGGGTCAGTGGGAAGAATGTCCCTTACAACAATCAGTGGGAAGAAATCCCGGCAACATTGTGGTCATGAATTGTCCCTTACATTGGAGGTCAGTGGAAGAATGTCCCTTACATTGGGGTCAGTGGGGGGGAAGAATGTCCCTTACATTGGGGTCAGTGGGGGGAAGAATGTCCCTTACATTGGGGTCAGTGGGGGGGAAGAATGTCCCTTACATTGGTGGTCAGTGGGAAGAATGTCCCTTACATTGGGGTCAGTGGGAAGAATGTCCCTTACATTGGTGATCAGTGGGAAGAATGTCCCTTACATTGGGGGTCAGTGGGAAGAATGTCCCTTACATTGGGGTCAGTGGGAAGAATGTCCCTTACGTTGGTGGTCAGTGGGAAGAATGTCCCTTACGTTGGAGGTCAGTGGGAAGAATGTCCCTTACGTTGGGGTCAGTGGGAAGAATGTCCCTTAATTGGTGGTCAGTGGGAAGAATGTCCCTTACATTGGGGTCAGTGGGAAGAATGTCCCTTACATTGGAGGATCAGTGGGAAGAATGTCCCTTACATTGGGGGTCAGTGGGAAGAATGTCCCTTACATTGGGGGTCAGTGGGAAGAATGTCCCTTACATTGGGGGTCAGTGGGAAGAATGTCCCTTACATTGGGGGTCAGTGGGAAGAATGTCCCTTACATTGGGGTCAGTGGGAAGAACGTCCCTTACATTGGGGGTCAGTGGGAAGAACGTCCCTTACATTGGTGATCAGTGGGAAGAACGTCCCTTACATTGGGGGTCAGTGGGAAGAATGTCCCTTACATTGGGGGTCAGTGGGAAGAATGTCCCTTACATTGGTGGTCAGTGGGAAGAATGTCCCTTACATTGGGGGTCAGTGGGAAGAATGTCCCTTACATTGGGGGTCAGTGGGAAGAATGTCCCTTACATTGGGAATCAGGGGGAAGAATGTCCCTTACATTGGGGGTCAGTGGGAAGAATGTCCCTTGTATTGGAGGTCAGTGGGAAGCCCAAGGCCGCATGCACAGTCACAGGGATCACTGACTTTCATAAGTCAGTGTGCTAAAAGGACATTTTCCTGTGTACTTTGGGAGCTGTGCAACTGGTGCTATTCTGACCATGTGCAGTACCATGTCTGAACATCAGTGGAAGACGACGAGAGATCCGGAAGACCTTCAACAAGCTGAACCCACGAAAATGTGCGAACCATTCAGCAACTTGTGCATGATGATTGTTGGAAAACAATCCATAACATTTCTGCCATTGTTCGGTGTGTCATGGAACTGACCAGGCAATCCTCACATGTGATTTGAACATGCGTCATGTTGCTGCCAAGTTCGGCCCCAGGCTGCTGACCCAAGAGCAGAAGGAACTCCTTCAACGTGCCATGGATGACCCATCCTTCATGTTGATCGGTGACAAAACTTGGGTTTCACACAGAATTTCAGGTTTGCTCTTTGTTCTAACTTGCTGTCTATGATGAAATGGCAGATTTGGCCAGAATAGCACCAGTTGCACAGCTTCTGATGTACACAGGACGATGTCTTTTAGCGCACTGACTTACAAAGGTCAGTGCTCCCTGTGACTGTGCTTGCAGCTTTGTGCTGCCATCTGTTGGCGTGTTACACAATTAGTCTCCAAACCTTTTGATACCACGTCGTATATACTTACCTACCCTCAGTTTCCATAGTGCAGCAGGTGACATCACTATTCTTCCAACCAGATCCCGGCAAAGGCCGAGTAGCCCAAATCTCACAAGCACAATTCAGGATCTCACAAGTTTTGGGCTACTTGGCATTCCTTAGGATCTCGCCGGTGGTGATAGGTTTGGCCTTCAGCTCAAGTCCGTGTTCTTCTGAACCTGAAAGTTATCTCCTCTGGGCCAATGAGCTGCAAGCAGGAGATACTCTGCCCTGCAGTTGATGTACACAAGGGGGCGGGAACGCTCATGACATCATTGACCTAATATGGACCCAGCTTCATATTACGTCAATGTCATTGCCCTAAAATGGGCATTCTAGAACAGTGTTTCTCAACCTTTTTTCAGTCAAGGCACCCTTCAAAATTATGGACAGCCCCGAGGCACCCTTTAAAATTACAGACAGCCCCGAGGCACCCTTTAAAATTACAGACAGCCCCGGGGCACCCTTTAAAATTACGGAAAGCCCCGAGGCACCCTTTAAAAATACGGACAGCCCCGAGGCACCCTTTAAAATTACGGACAGCCCCGAGGCACCCTTTAAAATTACGGACAGCCCCGAGGCACCCTTTAAAATTACGGACAGCCCCGAGGCACCCTTTAAAATTACGGAAAGCCCCGAGGCACCCTTTAAAAATACGGACAGCCCCGAGGCACCCTTTAAAATTACGGACAGCCCCGAGGCACCCTTTAAAAATTACGGAAAGCCCCGAGGCACCCTTTAAAATTACGGAAAGCCCCGAGGCACCCTTTAAAATTACGGAAAGCCCCGAGGCACCCTTTAAAATTACGACAGCCCCGAGGCACCCTTTAAAATTACGGAAAGCCCCGAGGCACCCTTTAAAATTACGGAAAGCCCCGAGGCACCCTTTAAAATTACGGAAAGCCCCGAGGCACCCTTTAAAAATACGGACAGTCCCGAGGCACCCTTTAAAATTACGGACAGCCCCGAGGCACCCTATAAAATTAAGGAAAGCCCCGAGGCACCCTAAAAAATTAAGGAAAGCCCCGAGGCACCCTTTAAAATTACGGAAAGCCCCGAGGCACCCTTTAAAATTACGGAAAGCCCCGAGGCACCCTTTAAAATTACGGACAGCCCCGGGGCACCCTTTAAAATTACGGACAGCCCCGGGGCACCCTTTAAAATTACGGACAGCCCCGAGGCACCCTTTAAAATTACGGACAGCCCCGAGGCACCCTTTAAAATTACGGAAAGCCCCGAGGCACCCTTTAAAAATACGGACAGCCCCGAGGCACCCTTTAAAATTACGGACAGCCCCGAGGCACCCTTTAAAATTACGGAAAGCCCCGAGGCACCCTTTAAAATTACGGAAAGCCCCGAGGCACCCTTTAAAATTACGGACAGCCCCGAGGCACCCTTTAAAATTACGGAAAGCCCCGAGGCACCCTTTAAAATTACGGAAAGCCCCGAGGCACCCTTTAAAATTACGGAAAGCCCCGAGGCACCCTTTAAAAATACGGACAGTCCCGAGGCACCCTTTAAAATTACGGACAGCCCGAGGCACCCTATAAAATTAAGGAAAGCCCCGAGGCACCCTAAAAAAATTAAGGAAAGCCCCGAGGCACCCTTTAAAATTACGGAAAGCCCCGAGGCACCCTTTAAAATTACGGAAAGTCCCGAGGCACCCTTTAAAATTACGGACAGTCCCGAGGCACCCTTTAAAATTACAGACAGTCCCGAGGCACTCTTTAAAATTATGGAAGGTCCCATGGCACCCTCTAAAATGATGGACAGTCTTCAGGCACTCCATTCTAAAATGTGAAAATCTATACTAATAGTTTTATATAACACAGCCACATCCACACATGTAGGATACCCAACATTGGAGGTGCAAATATACCTTTGCACACTGGTACTGACTAGTATTCCTATGTTTCCCCTCTCCCTCTTTTCTTCTCCATCACTAGGCTAATGTGACCCCAGCACTGATGGAGAAGGGCGGGGGAGGGTCAAACCAGGATGCTGTGCAAGCAGCTGACATTCTCCTTATCAACTGATGTCATTGGTTGTCAGGACGTCAGTGGCTAGGTGGTCATAATGGTGCACAATGAAAACCGGTGGCTTTGTGTAACTAAAAGGCCGGCTTGTTCCACCCGCTGGCTTGTATACGAGTTTTGGTCAATTTTTAGACATTTTTGCCAAGGCACCCCAGAAGAAACCTCAAGGCACCCCAGGATGCCTGGACACCCAGGTTGAGAGAGGCTGTTCTAGATCAATGACATTTCTAGGTTCAATTCTAGGCCATGTCATTCACCTAAATGAGTCCATGTGGCCATATTAGGTCAATGATGTCATAAGCATCTCCATCCATTTGTATGTGTGCAGATGTGGGGCGGGAAATCTCCCATTCGCAGCTCGTTGATCCAGCAATGGCAGCTAACGTCTAAGTTCAGACCAAACCCAAGCTCATCCCTACTTGCAGGAAGGATGGTGTCTCCGTTCTCACCTAGGCCCCAAGGATGAATGCTGGAAATAGGGTAAGTATGTGTTCTAACGTTTCTCCCTGCGGGTCCAAGATACAGCGAATTATAAAGGGAGAGGGGGCTGCTTTAAGGCCAATTTTGGGTGAATCACCCATACTTTCAGACCTTGTTTTGGATAAAAAAAAAAAAGCATTTAGATCTGTGGATTGGCAAGGCTTGCTATCAGATAACCCGATAGTAAAATACACATCTATACAGTATCCATCCCTACTTGATGGGCCTGTGGATATATTCGGTCAATGATGTCATGAGCAGCTCCATCACTTTTATACAGAAAATCTCCCATCTGCAATTCATAGGCCCATCAATGACAGCTAACTTCCGGGTTCAAACCCACACTCATCCCTACTCACTGGAAGGAAGGTAAGGAAACTCTCACCTAGGCCCCAAGGATGAAAGCTGGATATAGGGAAGGTATGTGTTTTTTCTCCATGCAGGTCCATTGCACAGTGAACCCAAAACAGAGAGGGTCCAATTTTGAGTGAATCCCCCATCCTTATAGAACCTCAGCAGGGGGGGGGGGGGGGGGGGGGGGGGAATATGTTCAGAGTTGTGGATTGGCTAGCCAGCAGATAACCCACCAGAAAAATACACATCTAGAGAATGCTTTTCACACTAAATCAATTTGCATACTTGTTATTGACATAAAATGCGGCCATTCTAGATCAATATCATGTCTGGGTTCAATCCTAGGTCATTTCTAGGCCAATAACATCAACCTACTATGGACATGTGGCTATATTAGGTCCATATCAGTGACCTAAAATGGGCATTCTAGGTCAATGGAATTTTTGGGATCAGTCCTAGGTAATTTCTAGGCCAATGTCATTGACCTACTATAGCCACGTGGCCATATTATGTCCATATCAGTGACCTAAAATGGGTATTCTAGGTCAATGGAATTTTTGGGATCAGTCCTAGGTAATTTCTAGGCCAATGTCATTGACCTACTATAGCCACGTGGCCATATTATGTCCATATCAGTTACCTAAAATGGACATTCTAGGTCCATGCCATTTCTGGGATCAATCCTAGGTCAATGACATTGACCTACTATGGACATGTGGCTATACTAGGTCCATATCGGTGACCTAAAATGAGCATTTTAGGTCAAAGGAATTTTTGGGTTCAATCCAAGGTAATTTCTAGGCCAATGTCATTGACCTACCATAGCCATGTGGCCATATTATGTCCATATCCATGACCTAAAATGGGCATTCTAGGTCAATGTAATTTCTGGGATCAATCCTAGGTACTTTCTAGACCAATGTCATTGACCTAATATGGCCATGCGGTCATATTGGGTCCATATCAGTGACCTAAAATGAGCAATCTAGGTTAATGTAATTTCTGGGATCAATCCTTAGTAGGTCAGTGGCATTGGCCTGGAAATTACCATGGCCATATGAGGGCCATATCAGTGACCTAAAATGGCATTCTAGGTCAATGTCATGTCTGGTTTCAATCCTAGGTAATTTCTAGGCCAATGTCATTGACCTACAATGGCCATATGGTCATAGTAGGCTAATGATGTCATAAGCATCTCCATTGCTTTGTATATGTGCAGATGTTGAGTGGGGAATCTCCTGTCTGTAGTGCATTGGTCCAGCAATAACGGTTAATTTCTGGGTTCACACCAAACCTAAGTTCATCCCTATTTGCCAAAGGAAGGTGACACCACTCTCACCTAGGTCCAAGGGTGAAAGAGACAGGGTAAGTACATTAGGTGTTCTAACTTTTCACCCTGCTGGTCCATTATACAGTAAAATATAAAGGGTGAGGTGGCCACTTTTGGGGGAATCCCCCATCCTTTCAGACCCTTTTTTTTTTTTTTTTTGTCAGACCCTAGGTTAAAGCTGCTGACAGAAGATTCTCCACCCGCAGTTGATGTACACAAAGGGGCGAGAATGCTCATGACATCATTCACCTAATATGTGCCCATGTTTATTTTAGGTCATTGTCATTTCTAGATTCAATTCCAGGCCATTTCTGTATTTAGGCAGTGACCTAATCTGGCCATGTGGTCATATTATGTTCATGTCATTAGCCTAAGCTGGCCATTCTAGGTCAATGTCTTTTCTGGGTTCAATCATAGGTAAATTCTGGGCCAATGTCATTGGCCTAATATGTCCAAACCTCACTGGCCCGGCATTGGCAGCTAACTTCCGGGTTTAGACCAAACTCAAGTTCATCCCTACTCGCCGAAAGATGGTGACCCCAAGGGTGAAAGAGACAGTATGTGTTCTAACTTTTCTCCCATCTGGCCCATCATACAGTAGAATATAAAGGGTGAGGGGGCCCGTTTTGGGTGAATCCCCCATCCTTTCAGACTGTTTTTTGGGTAAAGAAATAAATGTTCAGATGTGTGGATTGGCAAGGTAGGTAACCCCATAGCAGAATACACATTTCTAGAAAACGCTTCTCATACTAAATCAAGTTTCATACTTGATGGTCTCATAGCCATATTAGGTCAAGTGTCATTTTTGGGCTCAATTATAGGCCATTTCTAGACATCTTAGGCCAATGACATCAACCTACTATGGACATGTGGCTATATTAGGTCCATATCAGTGACCTAAAATGAGCATTCTAGGCCAATGAAATTTTTGGGATTAATCCTAGGTAATTTCTAGGCCAATGTCATTGACCTACTATAGCCATGTGGCCACATTAGATCCATATCAGTGACCTAAAATGGCCATTCTAGAGCAATGTTTTTTCTGGGTTCAATCCTAGATTGTTTCTAGGCCAATATCACTGATCTAATATAATGTCACCATCAGGGGTGGACTGACCATTTGGAAACTCGGGCACTGCCCGAGGGCTCAGGGTTAGTAGCGGGCCCCATGAATGCCCCTGGTACCTTTTTCATAGGCTCTTTTGAGTTTGGGCAAGAACACAGGGGCCCCAAGATCCCCTATTGCCCGGGGCCCCATGAGTTGTCAGTCCGCCCCTGGTCGCCATATTAGGTCAATAAGGTAATGAGCATCCCCGCCACTTTGTATGCATGTGGGTGCAGGAATCTCCCATCAGCAACTCATTGGCCCAGCGATGACTGCTAACTTCTGGTTTCGGACCAAACCCAGCTCATCCCATCTCACAGGAAGGATGGTGATGCCACTCTCATCTAGGTCCCAAGGTAAAAAGCTGGAGATAGGGTGCTCTAACTTTTCTCCCCACAGGTCCATTATACAATGAAATATAAAGGCAGCTGTGAGGCCAGTTTTGGGTGAATCCTGCATAATTTCAGACCCTGTTTTGTGGATTGGTACGGCTTGCCTGCAGTTACCCCAACAGTAAAATACACATTTCTAAAGAATGCTTCTCATACTAAATCAAGTTCCATACTTGATGGGCTCATGGCCATATTAGGTCAATGTCATTTTTTGGCTCAATTATAGGCAATTTCTTGGCATTTTAGGTCAATGTCATTGAGCTAAAATGGCCATTCTAGAGCAATGTCATTTCTGGGTTCAATCCTAGATCATTTCTAGGCCAATATCACTGATCTAATATGATCATGTCGCCATATTAGGTCAATAATGTAATGAGCATCTCCACCACCACCACTTCGTAAACATGTAGCTGCCGGGTGGGTGCCGGAATCTCCCATCAGCAACTCATTGGCCCAGCGATGACCACTAACTTCTGGTTTCAGACCAAACCCAAGCTCATCCCATCTCACAGGAAGGATGGTGATGCCACTCTCATCTAGGTCCCAAGGTAAAAAGCTGGAGATAGGGTGCTCTAACTTTTCTCCCCACAGGTCCATTATACAATGAAATATAAAGTCAGCTGTGAGGCCAGTTTTGGGTGAATCCTCCATAATTTCAGACCCTGTTTTGTGGATTGGTACGGCTTGCCCGCAGTTACCTCAACAGTAAAATACACATTTCTAGAGAACACTTCTCATACTAAATCAAGTTCCATACTTGATGGGCTCATGGCCATATTAGGTCAATGTCATTTTTTGGCTCAATTATAGGCAATTTCTTGGCATTTTAGGTCAATGTCATTTCTGGGTTCAATCCTAGATCATTTCTGGGCCAATGTCATTGACCTACTATAGCCATGTGGCCACATTAGATCCATATCAGTGACCTAAAATGGCCATTCTAGAGCAATGTAAAATTCTGGGTTCAATCCTAGATCGTTTCTAGGCCAATATCACTGATCTAATATCATGTCGCCATATTAG